AAATTATAAAAACAAATTATGGTTAAATATTAGATACACAATACGTTTAAAAAAAAAAAGCACAAACAATGCAAAATTTTATATATTTTGTTTTTCCATTTACAAGTGTAACAAAACTTTTTTCTTTTTATAATTCCAAACTTCATTTGAAAACTTCATTTTTTTCCTGATTAAAACAGATGGTTAAGAACAAAAGAAAAAAAATTTAAAAAAAGAAGATGGTTGCAGAAATACACGCTCTTTTTATAGTTCATTTTTCTCATTTAACAATATAAAAAGAATTTATATTAAAAACAGTAAGTGTATGTTCGTTTGTATGTATGTATTTTTGAGAAGGAAAACACAGAAGTTTACTGTAAGTTTTTTTAAGAGACAAACTACTGAATAGCTAGAGATCACAAAGAAGGGTCACATTACATACACTGGAGAGCAAAGAGCTCAAAATTTTGTTTGTTTTCCTGTTCTCAAAAGTTGTTTTGGACTATCCTACCACTAAAGGTTTTTCTTGGTCCTTTATTCAAATAATATCTGATCTTGAGTCTCCCTACCAATTACTCTTTTTTTCTTTTCTGTAAAGGAACACACATCCCTTATCTCTTCCAACCTTTTCTTTAAAATGGCTATGTTCACATTTCAGAGCTGTTATAACAGGAATGTAAGTACTACTCAAGATCTTGGACGAGATGGCCATCAGATTCCTACTTATTCAGAGATTTTATGGTTATATTTTCATACCTTGTAACGATGATTTTTGTGAACACTATTCTGGAAGCAGTCCATACAGAGTACACATGTTGGATCAATTGCACAATCCCTGAAAAAAATCAGAAATTAGATTCCAAAATTTAGATGACTCCCACTGATGCTCAGGTGTTACTACAATATAATGTGAACAAGTTGCCTGTATGGTGTACAACTGAATAAAAAATGCTTCAAAAACTGAATTCCAAAAATGTTTTGAACAAAGATCATATTGCTAGAATAATTTTAGCCTCATTTAGCTACACTTAAGTATGTAGTTCTGGATGTTTGGTTTTCTTTCTGAAATCACTGTCATAGCTTTGAGCCTTGACCTGGTTTCAAACTGTTAGATTACAATTCAAAAATAATTTTGTAAAAAATAATCCATTTTTTCCATTAACTATCATCAGCTCATCCTATTACATTAATAAATATATTTTACAGCTGGGTGCGGTGGCTCAAGCCTGTAATCCCAGCACTTGGGGAGGCCGAGGCGGCCGGATCAGGAGGTCAAGAGATGGAGACCATCCTGGCCACCATGGTGAAACCCCGTCTCTACTAAAAATACAAAAAATTAGCTGGGCATGGTGGTGTGTGCCTGTAGTCTCAGCTACTCGGGAGGCTGAGGCAGGAGAATTGCTTGAACCCAGGAGGCGGAGGTTGCAGTGAGCCGAGATCGTGCCACTGCACTCCAGCCTGGTGCCTGGGGACAAAGTGAGACTGTCTCAAAATAAATAAATAAATAAATAAATAAATAAATAAATTTTTTTACAAACACTGACTGTTCATTGTTAAATGAAGCTTGGATAAAGACAAAGTTCATCAGAATGCAAGCAACACAAGGGCAGGGATTTTTATTTATTGTACACTGAAGTGGCCCAAACACCTACAATGGTACCCAGCATATACTGGGTACTTACTATTTATTGAACAAATGAAAGAAATTCAATCCCTCTTCATCTCTACCTTAATAACAACTTCTTACATGTATTGTTGTATCTAACATTTTAGAGGAGACATTAAGAACAATATAAATTAGTGCAAAGTACAGGATTAATTTTTTTTCCTTTTGAGACAGTCTCACTCTGTCACCCAGGAATGCAGTGGCAGGATCATAGCTTGCTGCAACCACAGCCTCTCAAGTTCAAGTGATTCTTCTACCTCAGCCTCCTGAGTAGCTGGGATTACAGGCATCTGCCACTACACCCAGCTAATTAACTGAATTTTTAGTAGAGACAGGGTTTCACCATGTTGGCCAGGCTAGTCTTGAACTCCTAACCTCAAGTGATCCACCCACCTCAGTCTCCCAAAATGCTGGGATTATAGGAGTGAGCCACCATACCTGGCTATGATTAATTTTTTAAATATCTTATTTAAAAGAATTGAAGAGATAAAACTGGGATATTGTTTAAAAATTTAAAAGACTGGCTGGGCATGATGGCTCACACCTGTAATCACAGCACTTCAGGAGGCCAAGGCAGGCAGATCACCTGAGGTGAGGAGTTCAAGACCAGCCTGATCAACAAGGAGAAACCCCGTCTCTACTAAAAATACAAAAAATTAGCTGGGCATGGTGGTGCACGCCTGTAATCCCAGCTACTCGGGAGGCTGAGGCAGAAGAATTGCTTGAACCCAGGAGGCAAAGGCTGCAGTGAGCCAACACTGTGCCATTGCACTCCAGCCTGGGCCATAAGAATGAAACTCCATCTCAAAAAAAAAAAAAAAAGAATAAAGGCTGGGTGAGGTGGATCACGTCTGTAATCCCAGCACTTTGTGAGGCCAAGACAGGGGGATCACCAGGTCAGGAGATCAAGACCATCTTGGCCAACATGGTAAAACCTCATCTCTATTAAAAATACAAAAAAATTAGCTGGGTGTGGTGGCACATGCCTGTAGTCCCAGCTAGTTGGTAGGCTGAGGCAGGAAAATTGCTTGAACCTAGGAGGCAGAGATTGCAGTTAGCCGAGATCACACCACTGCACTGAAGCCTGGGCAACAGTGCAAGACTGTCTCAAAAAAAAGAATTTAAAAGGCTAACAGGAAATATAGGTTGTCTAATAATATTCTGTAAAATATATATGATCTAAGACCTATTTAGAATAGGATTTTCAACCTCAATACCACTGACACTTTGGGCCAGATAACTGTTTGTTGGGGGTGGACCAGACTGCCCTGTGCATTAGGATGTTTAGCAGGAATCTTGGCCTCTACACAATAGATACCAGTACCCTCCCCCTGGATGTAACAATTAAAATTATCTCCATGAAACTTTTGGAGACATGAGGTCTGCAAATGTCTATCATGGTTTAGTTGAAAGTGACTGAGCTCTAGCTAAAAATACATAAGAAGATAAATGAACTTTACTATATAGCAACATGGTACACAAAATGCAAAAACTTTCTTTTTTCTTCCTAAAAACAGGATAAAGAAAGATAGTATGTTCTAAACAACTGTTAATTGTATATAAACCTGTCAGGCATAGAATTATAAGAAAGTAAAAACAACTCTCTGTATTTATAAAGTCTAAAAATTCACACTCCTAACCTAAACTAGCTCTAACAAAGGAGGAAAACTAAATCTCAAATTTCAGGCAGAGGTAGGGAGCAAAAATGTTCTCTGTGCTGCCACGAAGTTTAAGGCACTGTTCTCACAAGGAATAAAAAGCCTAGGCTGGACACAGTGGCTCACCCCTGTAATCCCAGCACTTTGGGAGGCTGAGACGGGTAGATCACGAGGTCAGGAGTTCAAGACCATCCTGACCAACTTGGTAAAACCCCATCTCCACGGGGGGGGGATGTATGTATGTATGTATGTGTGTGTATATATATACATATTTATATTTACATATATATATATATATATATATATATACACACACACACACACACACACACACACACACACTAGCTGGGATATATATATACACATAAAAAATTAGCCAGGCGTGGTGGCATGCACCTGTAATCGCAGTTACTCGGGAGGCTGAAGCAGGAGAATCGCTTGAACCAGGGAGGTGGAAGTTCCAGTGAGCCGAGATCATGTCACTGCACTCCAGCCTGGACAACAGAGTGAAACTCTGTCTTAAAAAATAATAAATAAAATAAAAAGACTTAAGTTGTTTTTAGTTTCCCTACCGCTGGCCTCTTCTATTCAACTAAATTACAACTGTTTCTACAGGTTCAAAATCCCTTACACAAGACTCTGAAATCCAAATAGCTCCGAAGTTGAAAGGTTTTCGAATTTCTGTAGGTTTGGCACCAAATCGCACTTGATGGCAAAAAAAGACTTCAAATGGAATGAGACTACAGGCATTATTTATACTACTTGTTGTGAAAATTCAGATTTCTTAAAGAAAGATTGTGTTTGATTACAGTGTCCCACCCTAACTCTGCTGGGGAAGTACTCAGAATTCTGAAATACCACAAAGAGTTTCAGTTAAGAGTATGCTGGATACATTACAAATAAGACAAAAATCTATCACTGACATTGTGTTGTAGAACAGGAAGAAACTGTGAGAACTATTTAACTGGAAGTCATATATATTCAGAAATGAGCTGTACTAGCAAAAACCACACAACAACTGCATAATAAAAGAAAGTTAATTAACTGTTACTATTTATAATTACTATTATAAATAGTAATAAACCAAGAAAAGTATATCACAAAATAGATAAAATACCAAGATAGTAATAATTGGCCAGGGGTGGTGGCTCATGCCTGTAATCCCAACACTTTGTGAGGCTAAGATGTGTGGATCACTTGAGGCCAGGAGTTCGAGAACAGACTGGTCAACATGGTGAAACCTCGTCTCTACTAAAAATACAAAAATTAGCCAAGCATGGTGGTGGGCGGCTGTAATCCCAGCTACTTGGGAGGCTAAGGCAGGAGAATTGTTTGAATCTGGGAGGCCGGAGGTTGCAGTGACCCGAGATTACGCCACTGCACTTCTGCCTGGGTGACACAGCCAGACTCCATCTCAAAAATAACAGTAATAAGATTGTAATAATTATAATCAATCCTGTAAATTTCTAATTCTTACCTACAAGAATAGGTTGTCTCTCCACTTTTGAAAACCTTCCCACAAAGCTGAAATGCTCCACTGTGCTTCAACTTCTCTAAGCAAATATCTGGATCTTCTCCAAATAAGTACCATTCCAGTGGAGTGAATATTGACATTTGTACACTTTCCTCCTGTTTTTCCAAGTCTGGGTCCATTTCAGCAAAGTAAATTTCTGGCACCAGCTGTGCCAAATGATGCAAGAAAGCAGTATAAAAATCAACTTGCTGATCCCACCACTGAAAGAAAAGAAGATGAAAATTAGACTGTCTTACAAGCTCCTTCTTAATCATCTGGGGGCACAAGTAATGACATAATTCTATAATTTCAAAGTAATTTATATACTTCATCCTTCACCAGTACAGAAAGAAAGTGGGTGATTTAACAAAATTAAGCTTGGAAATAAGCAACTACCATATACCACAGATATTGGAAAAAAAAAAAAGAAGAGTAGCTATAGTAGGTGAGAATTATCTTTCCCTTCCGGAATGGCCAATTCCTGCTACATGAAGGTGGTTCTATTATCAGTCACCGGCTAAAAAGACAATGCATTCATCACACACTTTGTTTTAGAAAACCAGAGTGTTTAACAAGAGATCAAAATAAACATAGGCCAAAGTTTTACAAACATAAAAAGCACTAACCATGAAAGAAAGAAAAAAAAAACTGGATAAATTGGACCTCATCAAAAGTAAAACCTTCTGCTCTTCAAAAGAAACTGTTACAGATGGCTTATTTGCATATGAAAACATGCTTACTATTATTAGTCATTAGGGAAGCACTAATTAAAATGACAATGAGATACCCCTGCACTACCTAGTATGGTGGCTAAAATTAAAAACTGGCAATATCAAATGCTTACTAGGCCAACAGTACTTTCGCACCTACAGTCCCATCTCAGGAGGTCGAAGTAGGAGGACTGCTTGAGCGCAGGAGTTCAAGGCTGTAGTGTGCACCTGTGAATAGCCAATGCACTTCAGCCTGGACAACACATAGGAAGACCCCATCTCTTCAAAAAGAGTGACTTACATCACTTGTAACTGAAAAGATGAAGTCCACCATTTTTTTTTTGTCTTTTGTTTAAAAGACAAAAAAAACAAAACACATATGACTCAAGGCATATCATTAAAAAACAACAACAAAAACTTACCCAAGGAGTTTTATAAGCTGATAATATAATTACAATTAAGATTTTAGATAAGGTTCCAGAATAGGCCATTAAGGAAAGTTACAGATATTTGATTACATATAAGGCTTTTTTAGTTTGCACTAATGAACTTCAATATTCCATTCACAAATAAATTCAACCTCAATATTCCATTCACAATTAAAACTTTATGGTATTACTGTTTACATTAGGTATTACTGTAGAAATTATATTAGCCCATTCTCTGAAGGGCAATTTGTAGATAGTTATTAAAATTTTAAATTTATATACACTTTGACCCAGAAAGGCCCATTCTAGAAATTTATTCCTCAGATAAACATGTATAAAGGAAGTATTTGCAGCATGACTATTTTTAATCGTAAAAGATTGGAAACAACCTGAATGTCACAAAACAAGAGCTGAATAAATTATGGGACTTTATAAAAAGGGAGAGGGCACAGATCTATGTCCTGATATGGAATATTCTTCAAGTTATACTGTTAGATAAAAAGTAAAAGGTACAGAACAGTGAGTATAATGTGGTACCATTTATACTGGGAGAAGGGAAGAGAAAAACAAGGAAGAGGTGAAGGCGATGTATGCTTATATCTGAATACAAAAATCTCTGAAAGGATTCAAAATAAATGTTAACAGTAGAAAGAGCCCCGGGAAAGACTTAGTGTTCACTGTGTTACCTTTTTTACTGTTTTAATTTTTTACTCTCTCTCTATATATATACACATTATCTATTTGAAATCATTTAAAAATGTTTTCAATCCTATACATTTCATGTACAGTTATTCCTAACAGCAAAAAATTAAAAACCTGAATGTCCATGAACAGGGTAATAATCTATCATTTAGCCACACTCACCCAAGTGTGAAAAGATATATTTACATCCACCAGATGTGCACTATAACATCACTTGTAACTGAAAAGATGAAGTCCACCTAAATGTCTATCAATAAAGGTATATCCATTGTGGTACAAGCATACTATTCTATGCAGTCAAAATGTCATAAATACTGTTAAGCGGAAAAAGAAGCTTTAAATATTATAATTTCATTTTTGTAAAAAGTAAAAAAATTATATATGCTTTTTAAATTTCAACGCATTTGGGTTTGGGATTCCTTTTTTTTAAGACAGAGTTTCGCTTTTGTCATCCAGGCTGGAGTGCAATGACGCAATTTTGGCTCATTGCAACCTCTGCCTCTCAAGTTCAAGTGATTCTCCTACCTCAGCCTCCTGAGTAACTGGGTTTTCTAATTAAACAAATGTGCATGCACATCTCTGCCTATGCTTCCCTAAGCATAGAGTAGGGTCTGAAAGGAGAAACAACGAACTATTAATAACGAATACACGAAGGGAAGAAACCAGGGAAAAGAATTAGGGATTGTCACATTTTTACTTTCAACAGTGTTACACCATTTGACTTTGTTAGACAAATGTCAGTATTTTTGCAACTAATAAAAAAAAAACTTCTAAAAAATCTACATGAGGTCTGGTGTGCATGGTAGCTCATGCCTGAAATCCCAGCACTTTGGGAGGCTGAGGCAGGCCGAGGTCAGAAGTTTGAGACCAGCCTGCCCAACATGATGAAACCCCATTTCTACTAAAAATACAAAAATTAGCTGGGCATGGTGGCACATGCCTGTAATCCCAGCTACTTGGGAGTCTGAAGCATGAGAAACTGCTTGAACCCAAGAGGCAGAAGTTGCAGTAAGCCACTATTGTGCCACTGCACTCCAGCCCAGGCAACAGAGTGAGACTCCATCTAAAAAAAATTTTAAAAGGTCATGGGGCCAGGCACAGTGGCTTACACCTGTAATCCCAGCACTTTGGGAGGCCAAGGCAGGTCAGGAGTCCGAGACTAGCCTGACCAACATAGAGAAACCCCGTCTCTACTAAAAATACAAAATTAGCCAGGTGTGGTGGTGCATGCCTGTAATCCCAGCTACTCAGGAGACTGAGGCAGGAGAATCACTTCAACCTGGGAAGCAGAGGCTGTGGTGAGCCCAGATTGTGCCATCGCACTCCAGCCTGGGCAACAAGAGCGAAACTCCTTTTCAAAAAAAAAAACTACTTGAGTTAATAAGCCCATTTAAAAATGATGCCAAATAGTCTCAAAGTGTCTCCAATGGAAAAGATGGTAATTTTAAAATAAAATTTTAAAATAGAAACCAACGTAACCAAATGATTAAGATAAATATCACCAGTAATAAGAACTACTGATATCAAGAATCCCTTGATATGATACACTGAGAAAGACACCACTTATGTTATGCTTTTTTTCTTTTTAATAGTAAAGGGGTCTCACCTAGGCTGCTCTTGAACTCTTGGGCTCAGGCGATCCTCCCCACTTCCTGAGGAGATGGGTCCGTCTGGGACTACAGGTTCATACTACAGCACCTGGCGGACTTTTGTGTTATTCTTGCCCAAATGTATAATTTTATTCCAATTATGAGAAAACATCATACAAACCCAAACTGAGGGACATTCCATACAGTAACTGCAGAGGACTCTAAAAGTATTAAGGTCATGAAAATAAGAGAGGATCAAGACATTGTTACAGACTGGAGGATACGAGAGAGATAACTAAATGTAACTGGGATCCTGGGTGTGATCCTGAACAGAAAAAGCACACTCATGGGAAAACTGATGAAATTCAAATAAGATCTGTAGTTAGTATTAATTTCCTGTCCTTGATAATATGCTATGGTTATATAAAATGTTAACATTACAGGAAACAGGAGGAGTGAAGTAAGAGAACTGTGCCCAATTTATACAACTTTTCTATCAGTCTAAGATTAATCAAAACAAAAAGTGAAAAAAGAAATGATGCTGAAGAGATTTATTGACTAATATGGAAAGGCATTAATAACAAACAGTTCAGTAAAGTACGTTACAAAGAAGTACATATAAAATCTCAATTTCATTAAGTATTATATTTATAATTACACAGAGAAAAATCATGAGGAATATTTAACAAAATGTTAACAGAAATAGGTGGTGAGATTTTAGCACATTTTCATGGAATTCATTAGTCTGCTTACCTGATGAGTAATATCCTTACAGGGAGTCCACATTTGGTGGCTAATTTTATGATTTTTAAATTAAAATTTATTTTACGGGCCGGGCGCGGTGGCTCAAGCCTGTAATCCCAGCACTTTGGGAGGCCGAGGCGGGTGGATCACGAGGTCAAGAGATCGAGACCATCCTGGTCAACATGGTGAAACCCCGTCTCTACTAAAACTACAAAAAATTAGCTGGGCATGGTGGTGCATGCCTGTAATCCCAGCGACTCAGGAGGCTGAGGCAGGAGAATTGCCTGAACCCAGGAGGCGGAGGTTGCGGTGAGCCGAGATCGCGCCATTGCACTCCAGCCTGGGTAACAAGAGCGAAACTCCGTCTCAAAAAAAAAATAAATAAAATAAAATAAAATAAAATTTATTTTACTAAAACCATTTAAAAATAATTACACCTTCCAGTATTCCAATTCCAACTTTTCTGGGGTACTCATACATGAACAACTTTTCTCTGGCAACAACTACAACTAACAGAGATAATATATAATGTTCTATGTTATACCTAAGGTTTTTTTCATCAAGAGCACTAAACGAAAAAAAAAAAAAAATCTTGCATATTCAGCACTACAAAACCAAACAAAAAACCTTTCTGTTCTACTTAATTATAGGAGGCATAGAACTCTTTTCAATTTCTCTTTTTAAGAATAGAAGAAATGTGAGAGTAAAAAAAGAGTACAAGCCCTTCACATTTTATAGATGAGAAAGCTAAGTCACAGGGGAGTAAAATGACTTGTCCAAAATCGTTAAATAACCAGTTGGTATCAATGTCAGGAACAGAACTAGGTATCTGAACTCCAAAAGTTCAGTGCCCTTTCTACTAAACCAAACATAAATATACAGTTTTTACATCTACCTTTACTGGTTTGTTCAATTTCACATTACAGCTTGGGCATGCCACACCCAAAAATCAGAAATCTGAAATGTCCCAGGATCTGAAAATTTTTGAGGGCCGACAAAACATTCAAAGGAAATGCTCATTATAACATTTTGGATTTTAGATTTTCAG